GAACAGAAACATGATAAAAAAGCTAGTTCATAATCAGCATAGACTTTGTTAATTCTCGTCTTTTTCTCAGGTATTGGTGTTTGCAAATTCTACAGGTTACTGTAATAGTAAATTGTTACTTGCTTTTTCATTAAATCACTAGGTTCAATGACCATTTTAGAAAAAGCTGTATGATAGTATTTTAATTTTATTTATGGACTTTTCCAGAAAGCTTAGACTTTCCTCTTTTTCCTTCCCCAGCTTTATTGAGGTATAATTGATAAATAAAATTATAAGATACGTTTAAAGTGTATGGTGTGATAATATGATTTGATACACAGTAAAAGGATTCCCATTCACCCCTCATTGAGTTAACATGTCTTCACCTATTTACATTTATTTATTTATTTGTTTATTTATTGGTGAGAACATTTTTCTATTTAGACTTTTCTAGCTACTTTTTGTAAACCTGATTTTTTTTTTCCCAGATAGAATGCTAGTGGTATTGGAGCTGGTAGTAGGAAGAAAAAGAAAAGTCACTGGGCTAAGTGTTTTTTTCAAAGTTACAGTTATGGTAGGTGGTGTGACATTCACCTGTGTCATTCCTGGTACCTTAACTTTGATCTTTATCTAGAAGAAAGGAGAAATAATGAAACACAGATCCAAGAATGCAGGGGGAATTCAACTTCCCAAATGTCAGAGAGAATTGAGATTTAGTAACTCAGGTATCCACGGATTCCATTTGACCAATAGGAGATTCTCACTTGTAGAAGGGCATGCGGTATCTATGTGATCCAGCATCAGAGAATTTCATTTTGTCTAATAGCCTGTTTTTATTTATTTTACGGACAAGAACAGTCCTCTCAGAATATATCTTAGTGATGTGGGGAATGTATTTTGTATCTTTGGATTCTGACTGGCTGAAATGAGCTGGTTACCCAAAGCTACCTCATCACCATCAGGGTGGGTAGAAAGATTTCCCCTCGAAGTATGTGTCCTGTGGTGCATCACATCAAACCTTTGCCACAGATTCCTCTGGGGAGTAAGAGATGCTCAAAACTACCCATGAGAACAAAAGGACAAGCCAGTGTTTGCTTAGCAGTGAAATGCAGTGTCACAAGTGGGAATCAAGACTATAGATTCTTAGTGGGGTTTTAAAGGACTTCCAATACTGTCCTGTGAAGAATTCAATAGCTGACTCAGGAGGGGGCAGGATGGCAGTATCAGTAATTGTAAAAATAATGTCTTGGAGACACTGTTTCCTTTGCAAAGAAGTTTAGAATAAAAAATAAAAAACAGATACTGAGTTTGGAAATGTGTTTTGTGGTGGGACACATACTTCCAATGGGTCTCTTATATTTCCGCACATGATTTTGCAAAGAGGCATTGATGTTTTTCTCCAAACTATCTTTCCAAGGATATTTTTTTTAAAGATTTTATTTATTTATTTGAGAGAGAGAGAATGAGAGAGAGCACGAGAGGGAGGAGGGTCAGAGGGAGAAGCAGACTCCCTGCTGAGCAGGGAACCTGATGTGGGACTCGATCCCGGGACTCCAGGATCATGACCTGAGCCGAAGGCAGTCGCTTAACCAACTGAGCCACCCAGGCGCCCTCCAAGGATATTTTTATAGCAAACAGCTTTCAAAGATAAAGATAGTATCTCCCTCTGGGGCAGAGGGCAGATTTGTTCCCTGAAGGGTATGATAAGGATGTTTCCCTTTGGAGACAAATTTTGGGCAGCTTTGCTGGAAGCCTCCAAAGATCGCAGTATTGTGAACTCTGGGTCCCTGGGCCAAAACCACATTCTCTGCCTCACCCCCATGGGACTCTCTGGGGGAAGAGGACTAATTTGATTATGAAACTCATGACGCCTGCTGTGTCATGAGTAATAAAGATCTTTGCCTCTTACCTACAATCATGTGTCTTCTGACAACATCTGTGAAGCTGTGGCAGGCTAATTGCTTAGCTTACAAGAAGAGCAAAATTTTAGTATCAACAATTTATAGTTATTAATTTTTAAAGATTTTTTTTCTGATGATAAAAACAGTATTTTTTTGTGTCAGGAATTTGAAAAGTAGAGGAGATACTTAAGGAAAAAAAAAGTCCATAATCTCCATACCTAGAGAAGGGTGATATTTGGATCTTAGCATAAATCTTAGTATCACTCTATATGTACATGCATCATATTATGTATATTTGCAAATGGCATAAATTGCATTCTGCCTGCCCCTTTTGTCCCCTAAAATTAGAATATTTCATTAATTTTTTAAGCATGATTTTGAGTATCTGCCCAGTATTCTCTTTTATTGTAACTAAACCATTATTTACATAATTGTTCTCTTATTATAGAGCTTTTAGTTATTAAAAGTAATTCTACACTGAGCATCTTTTCATACTCATAGTGTACTTCTCTTTTTTACATGTAAAAAAAATCTACAAGATAAAATCGCTAGGTCTCAGCAATTTTTCATTTAATATTTTTTCATGTGTGCTTTGGTTCTCTCAGGACTGAGCTGGAAGTTCCACATAATCAGAATCTGCACAGGAGGTAGTTTTTGTAATCCTTAATTTTGTTAGGCTCTTTACTAGGTAAAGGCTTTTGTGGTTTACTTCCTTCTGATGGTTTGTTCCAGAAGTGTTGATCTGTTTCGTTGATTCCACTGAAGTCATACTTTTCACCCTTCAGTTAGTGAGTCACACATCAAGGCTCATCCAATTTTTCTCTGTGGCTCTGGCCTCTGTTGAAGATTTCACTTCATCCTTTCAAAATAAAGGCACATGGATATGGGGAAGTAGATTTACTACGGGATCCTGTCAAAATCTACTCTTTTGTTCTTAACATTTTTAAATAGCTATCATTAAAAGGAGTTTGTCTCCTCATGGCTTTAGAATGGATAAGTTGTTTCTTGTTCTAGAATTAATGTCATAGTGAATATGCTTTACCAAATTATTCATTCTAGATAATACCATCTTTATTAAAAATCTACCGGAGAGTACTCTCATTTTGTATACCTCTCTGATGTCTGCCACATCCTCTAAAGTAACTTCTGTGACTTCTCTGAGAAAGTTGACTTATCATTTTGCTAATGGGTGGTACATCATGATAGCTTAGGTCATATATCCTAGAGGTCAAGTTTAGGCTCTAATAGGCAGGATCTAATTTTATAGTCGTATCAAATTCAAAATAACGATGACTTTGCCTCTTCCCAAATCAGTATGAATGGCGATAGGGTCATGTGGCTGACATCATTTGGGGGTAACATACTGCTGTTCCATCAGCAACTTACACATAAAGCTTAGATTAGATTTCCCTGTCCACGAAGTGATGAGCAGAAAGACAAACCACCAATTCAGCGTTGTGTTTGCATGCTCATATCTGAAAGGAATATAAATGAAGCAAATAATTAAATGACTACAAAAAGAATTGAATAAGACCTCCTCTCTTCTTCTGACATTAAAATCATTGTAAAAAAAACCAGCATTCTGAAATTTCTGTTTGCAGCTTTGTGAAGAGGGTTTGGGGCCTTTTCAGGCTTCCAGCTTAGAGAAGATAAGCAAAAACAAACAAGCAAACAAGATAAATAAATCAAAATAAATGAAAAACTCCTGAGTAAATCATGAGGCTCCAAGTTGGGTAAAGTCTTTTTCTCCCAAAGGAATCTTTACTTCCCGCGTGTATGTTATAAATGAAATTTAAAGATTTCTAGCCGTTGAAATATAAGGAGCAAGAGTATTTCATCTTTTAATCCCAGCACTCGAAAGACTCTTGCATGTACCAGACATCAAACACACATTTATGGGCTTAATGAATAAATTATTGTTCTGAATCAAGGAATGATGAATGAATGATGGCTGTGCTTTCTTATGAAGATGCAAAATGTGGATGCATGTGTCAAAGCAAACACTACATTGGACAAAGTTAAATAGGCAAGGAAGGCTTTATTCAAGAATATTGCAATAACGGAAAGGGTCCAGAACTCAGTCTGCCTCAGTTCCATTGAAACAAATGGTGAGAGACTTGTCTTCTCTTCCCCCCCCTTTCTCTCTCTCTGTGTCTCTCTCTCTCTGTCTCTCTCTGTCTTCTCTCTCCCTCCTTCTCCTCCCCCCCCCTCCTTGGCACTAGCGTGAGCTAGTATAAAGAATAGGGAGGTTAACTAGTGGAATGTGTCCACCACGTTGAATTTTTCCTGAGTTTGCAAATGATTTTCTCTCTGAGTAGTTTTGCTCTCTCACACAAATTAGGCTCCTACTTTCTTAACAGAGATGTGTGATACAGGTTCTAATCTTCCTTGGTGATTACATTTCAAAGGAATTGCTCCCAAATTCTTGATAAAGACAGTCCTGGGTCACTACTGGCAAGATAATTTTTAAAAATCTGCATATACTTCAAAGGGGGAGAGAAAGAATTTACCAGTTTTCTAAAGTAAATGCTCTACAAAAAGGGAAGATTTTTGGTCGGGAAGAAGACTGTCTAAAGTTTAGTCAAGCTGAGGAGAATGTTAAGGGTTTCTTTGTCACATGCATCTTCTTAATTTGATAGAAATTGATTACAAGGGAATCCCAGAATGGGAGACCTGTGAGCCTGCCCTTCTGGCTTACACCCTAGGTATGACACAACTAATTGTTAATGTTAACTAAGTGGATTCCATGAACCACCCGATGGCCATAAGAGATATGAGAAAATGTTAAGGAAGTCAGCACCTACATTAAGAAAATTGGCTACAACCCTGACACAGTAGCATTTGCGCCATGTTCTGGTTGGAATGGTGACACATGCTAGAGCCAAGTGCTAACATAACCTTGGTTCAAGGGATGGAAAGTCACCCATAAAGATGGCAAAGCCAGTGCAACCACGCTGCTTGAAGCTCTGGATTGCATTCTGTTGCCAACTGGTCCAACTGACAAGCCCTTGTGTCTGCCCCTCTAAGACATCTACAGAATGGGTGGTATTGATACTGTCCCTGTGGGCCATGTAGAGACTGGTATTCTTAAACCCAGCATGGTGGTCACGTTTTCTCCAGTGTTACAACTGAAGTAAAGTCTATTGAAATACACCATGACACCTTGAGTGAGGCTCTTCCTAGGGACAGTGTGGGCTTGAATGTCAAGAATGTATCTGTCAAAGATGTTCGTTGTGACAGTGTGGCTGGTGACAGAAAAAATGACCCACCAATGGAAGCAGGTGGTTTCATGCCTCAGGTGATTATCCTGAATCATCCAGGCCAAATCAGTGCTGGATAGGCACCTGTGCTAAATTGCACACAGCTCACATTGCTTGCAAGTGTGCTGAGCTGAAGGAGAAGATTGATCATTGCTCTGGAAACAAGCTGGAAGATGGCCCCAAGTTCTTGAACTCTGGTGATGCTGCCATCATTGGTATGGGTCCGGGCAAGCCTATGCATGTTGAGAGCTTCTCTGACTATTCTCCTCTGGGCCATTTTGCCGTTTCTGACGTGAGCCAGATGGTTGCTGTGGGTGTCGTCAAAGCAGTGGACAAGAAGTCAGCTGGAGCTGGCAAGGTCACCAAGTCTGCCCAGAAAACTCAGGGGGCTAAATGAATATTATGCCCAATGGCTGCCACCCCAGTCTTAATCAGTAGTGGAAGTACAGTCTCAGAACTGTTTGTGTCATTTAGCCATTTAAGTTTAATAGTACAAGACTCGTTAATGTTAACAGTGCATCATAAAACCTTCAGAAGGAAAGGAGAATGTTCTGTGGGCCATTTGGGTTTTTTTGTATGTATATGGCGGTTTTAAGTTATTAGTTTTCAAAATCAGTACTTTTTAATGGAAACAATTTGACCAAAAATCTGTTACAGAATTTTGAGACCCATTAAAACAAAAGTTTAATGAGAAAAAAATATATAACTATTAACAAATCACTTATGTATTATTTAATAGAAAAAGAAGCTTTGTGCGTGAAGTATTTCTGTCTTTAATCAGCTGGTATTAAATACTAATCCCTTAATCTTTGATTTATTTATTTATTTTTAATCCCATCACTTCTATTGGATGATAGCCATGCTGGATTGCAGCCCCTGCTGAGTCTCCATGCTACAAAACCTTTCCTCCAATTTGAAGCCTGAGGCATCAGAGGTAAGTGAGAAGTGGGTTGTCATTTATGTCAAAACTGTTCATCTTTGTTACATTTCACACATTGTCAGTTCATGTCTCAGCTTTTCTTGTCATGCCTTTTGCATGGCTCTTCTGCTTTTCTTTTTAACAGGAACCAACTTGTTCCTGCATCTTCTTCTTGGCCATAAGCAGACATGCTTAAATATATAGTGGATGAAGGTGAATCCAAAATTTCTGGTCGTCCCAGATTGGTTACACATTGTGTAGGATATAAGAAAAGTACTTGAAGGACAATATACTTTCTAAGATGATGACAGTTCATTGTATCGATGAGATTTCTATTTGAGTTGACTAGAATGTTCTTTGGACGTGTGAAATTAACTTAATTAGCATATGGCTTTGTTTTAAAACTATAATTGATAGAAATTTAAAATGTGTGCTCATTTTGAAATAAAATGAGCACACATTTTAAATTTATGACACAACATATTGTCATTGAGTAAGGTTTATTTTTGGAAAGGAGGGTCCTAAAGCCTCAGTTTCATCTTCTGTATAATAGAAATAATGTTTTGATGATAAATGTTGTATTAGAACAGAGTGGATGCCTTGTATCAGGAAAATGCAAGAGATATGAAAAAGAGACCATAATGAAATTTTAGAAAGATGAGGATCTTTATTTAAATGTAAAGTTTTCACAGTGATATCTTTAAAAAATTAAGAATATGAATTTTGAAATGCACTTAAATCATTAGTCAAGTGGCACTGCGTTTCTTGCATGATTATAGCTGCTACATCAGAGGAAAAACAGTTTGCCTCCCTCAGATAAATCTATGTGCTCTCTCCATTCCATGAAGACAATTGCTTCTGGCTTTGTTGCAAATAATCCTATGTTACTTGTCTCTTATAATTCTAAAACATAAATAATTTTTTCCTTTAATATAACTACAAACATATAACCCTAATTAAATTGGCTTGCAGGTATAAAGTTGAACTTGAGTATTTACAGAAAGATTTTCAGGGGGCACCCAAGTGGCTCAGTCAGTTAAATGTCTGCCTTCAGCTCGGGTCATAATCCCAGGGTCCTGGGATGGAGCCCCATGTCAGGCTCTCTGCTCAGTGGGGAGCCTGCTTCTCCCTCTCCCTCTTCCTCTGCCTGCCACTCCACCTGCTTGTGCTCTCTCTCTATCTCTGTCAAATAAATAAATAAATAAATAAATAAATAAATAAAATCTTTAAAAAAAATTTATAGAAAGATTTTCAGGACAGTTCTACATGGATAATGGAACCTAATTGGAGATATGCATTACAAACTGTAACAAAAAATGGGAATTTTGGTAGAGTCATAGGTGCCACAATGTGGCCATAATTTCCTCAACACACATCCTTACACTGGGTCAGAGACAATTCATGCCTCCTAACATAGCCAAAAAGCATCTACCTGATAGGAATTCAAATAAGAACTAGACTATTGTACTACATCGAAATCAAATTTCTATCAAATCAATTGCAAACTAAAGTTATTTAGAATCTTTAATTCGCTCTATAGAAAAATTCATTCAATTTTGTTCATTTTTTTATTCAACCAACAAACACAGAACTGAGAGTTCAAATAGAATTAAGATATCATTGGGGTGCCTGGGTGGCTCAGTTGATTAAGTGTCTGCCCTCCACTCAGGTCATGATCCCAGGGTCCTAGGGTCAAGCCCCCATGTCCATGTCAGGCTCTCTGCTCAGTGGGGAGCCTGCTTCTCCCTCTTCCTCTCCCTCTGCCTGATGCTCCACCTGCTTGTGTTCTCTCTCTCTGTCAAATAAATAAAATATTTGAAAAAAAAGAATTAAGATATCAGCATATGAAATTAGAAAGTTCTACATTTGAATTATAGCTCTGTATTCTATAAATCATGCTAGTGTTTTTGTGATAATTAGATGACCATTCATTGTCCACTGTTATCTGCTGAGATGTTTTATTTGAATATTAATAAATCAAGGCTTATATTTGTCTGACTCTAACATACAGTTCAGTCTTTAGTATGTCCTGTGTTTTCCTCGGTAGCTGGAATCTATTCTACTCTGCCTTGGCACCTGGTATTCCCAGTATTGTGATAACCCTTTATCATTTTCATGCTGTCTTTTGGAACACATAAATTATTCTACTCTCTCCACATCTTGCTAGAGTCATAGGGGAACTTCAATAAGATCAAACCAGGACCACGCAGCCTTTCCATCTATGGGGTTCTTGCTTCCTTCCTGGGCTTTACCTGCGAGAGGCAGCAAAAATCCTGTCCTTGGATTTTAAAAACACTAGTTTCAATCATTACCTTACTCTAAGCTTGAGTCAAGATGGGAAGGGGCATGGGGAGAGTAGATGTAGCTTGGGGGACAGCTCCTTTTTAGAAACCTGTTAGCATTTATTCACTCCATATTTCTTCAAGTCCTAGAAGAACTAGTAGAAGGAGAACTAGTAGTTCTTCACTAGTCCTCCAAGTTGTAGTATAAACAGTGAAAAACTGAGGAGCATAACCCATTAATAATTGTGTTTATGACTGTGTCACAGGTGACACAGAATTAATTAAAGAATCATTTTAACTCCTTACTCATGAATTCTTTTGGTGGCAAAATCACCGAAGACCAGGAGATACTGGTTAACCTAATTTCTGCAGCTTGTGATCAATCTGATGGTTACAAAGTGACTCTTAAAAATAATATTTAGCTTCTTATTAAAGACAGTACTGAGCAAAATTAATTGCTACTTTGAGCAATTACTGCAACCTAGAATAATATTCTTAATTTCAATAAGATATTTTTTTAGTTTGTTTAAAACAAAACCTGGAGGTTTTAACTTCTCTCTCTCTCTCTAAGAAATGAACAACCCACAGTAATTTTCAATAACTTGTAAAGTTTAGTTTTACTGAGCATTCTTCTGAATCTTAGAAGATTTGGCTTTTTGGTATTTGACTAAATGAATTCTTTCAAGTATAAAGTAGTCTTCCCCTGACACTAGGCAGAAACATAGACATTTATGTCAGAATAGCCAGGAAAAAAAGAGGTAAGTTTAAAAAAAAAAAAAAAAGGAAGATGGTTATAGAGAATTATAGAGTAGAAGTTGTCTATGGCATTATTCCATTCTGTTAGAGGTTGTTTTAAGTTAATTATGCCACTGATTAGATAGCCAAGTGGCAGAACAACAACCATCACCTCACCCCATACCTACTCCATCTACTTTGTTGGGTCACTTTATCCATACCCTTCACTGCACATGCCTACTTATTCACTGAGTCACCTCAAACGTTGCATTTTTTTAACACAAAGCACATATTACAAGATCAAGGGTAGCATTAATATGATTAAAAATTTGGGGTGACAAGATTTTGAATGGACATTCTCCTCATCTCCAACCCCCCCAAAAGCTAACCAACTAAACATAAATTCTTAGGAATACAGGACACAGTTATTTTTAAAACACCTAATACTTTGACATTTCTAATTTTAAAGTTGAAAGATAATTTGCTCCTAAAATACTCATCAATATGTCTCTTTTTCTATGCATCACTACTTGCAGCATTTGATGATGTTATTCTGACTTGATTTTGAATGCCCAGTCTTCTTTCTTTATATCTTCTGCTTGTATTATCATTTTTATATTATATGATTTATTTCCCAGGGTTGCATACACATTTTGACATAAAAAAGATCAGAAAAACAATAATCAAATCAAAAATCTTTTGAAACTTGGAACATGACTCAGCATATTTTCCAAAACCTTAGGGGTTTTATTACATTAGATTTTGGAAGTCAGTTTGTGAGATAGGAAAGTAATTATTGGTGTACCTGTGTATTTCTTGTTCCATTTATATAGGACCCTCAAAGCCATCCTGAAGGTGCTTAGTAGTTTGAAGTATGATGAAAGACATAGGGAACAGCATCTTTTTATGTGCAGGGATATCCTTGTCATACAGTTGTACAGACTTTGGAAAGTCAAGGTTAAAGCTAATTTAGTGAACATTAGGGAGTGTAGCTTTCGTTAAGTCTTGAATTTTCATTCATATCGTTTTACAAGCGGGACAGATAGCTCTGTGACAATTAGCCAAGCAAAACGTATGTGGTTTTGAGTGAGCTACTTATTAGAAGACAGTAAACATTTGTTTTATGAAGGCCACATTGCTGTCAAACTAACATTTAAAAAGAATAAGTTTAAGAATGTCTCTTTTTTTCAACAAAGATGTGAACAGTGTCTAATTTCTTTCAACCCAAGGGTCTGATTTATCAGCATTGTCCTCAATTAGTTGTTGCTGTTGCCGTTGTTTTTCTTTAATAGTTTTGTTTGGTACAGCTTTCCAACAGCATTTAGAGAACTCTAACAAAGACAGTGTATCTAGAAGAGTCATTTGAGGACAAGTCTGCTGTTGCAAAGTTAGGCAAAGCTTTC